CATTTTCATGTTTCGCCCCCTGTTTGCTGGCAGATTGCAGACTGTAAATTTGAGGAGAAATAGTAAACCTACAAACATGATAAATAAACATGTTGCTTTTGTGAGGATAGATATTATTATCCTCCAGATTTACAGCTCTCCGCGCCTGTCTGTTTTATTGCTTTTTGGGAAACGCCGAGCCAGGTTTCTGTATTACACTGATCAACTTTCTGCCCTTCGCCCCTCGACATGAGCTCTGAGTCATTCAAATATTAACATGGACCAGGGAAGCAATTCCTCTCTCTGGAAGTGAATGCATCTTGACAGGTGTTTTCTTTGGGGACAGTTATTTATAACTGCAAAAGCTATCATACAGTAGGGTGCTTTTGTCTCTTCTCTCACCCTTCTCATTTCTATGAAATTGAATGTATTTTTGTTTCCTGACAGGGAAAAAAATGCCGTATCAATGATTTAAATCTTTCTCTCTCTCTCTCACCCTCTCTCTCCCCCCATCTCTATCTCTCCATATATTCTACCCTCTTCTGTCCCTTCCACCTTCTTGACAGGCTCTGGATTGCCCTCGGGTTAGAATCCAAGAGTTGCCACCAACTTTTGTGTCACCCAAGTAAAAGCCTTAACTTTCCCCAAGTCTCTCATCACCCTCAGGGCTGTGCTTATTCGCTATTCCTTGCTGCTGATTTAAAACGCAGACGTGAACAAGACATTTCTGCATCATCTCTACACCTTCCCTTCCCCATACCACCCCAGACTAGGTGATGAACTCTTGGGAACGGACAGCCGTGTCAATCCAAACCTTTCTCCCTCCCTCCCTGCTTCTCTACCCTGTGGTCTCCATGTTGAAGAACCACCCCTCCTGGGAGCTGCCCATACCAGAACCTTGGGGTGGTCTTTGTCCTCTTTGTCACCTCCCCTTCACACATTAAGTCCTATGGATTCTTCCCCCCGGCTTCTGTGCTTGACATGCTTCTCTCTGACCCCAGAGTCCTCTACTTCTCATATTTTTGAGTGTCCCCAAGTGCCTGGCACTGAGCTGATCTCTGAGCACTGTCCCCTCTCACAATGATCACTGCAGCAGTGTCTTTGCTGACTCAGGGCTGACCCCCACTCCATCCAGCCTCTCTCTTTCTCTCCCTCTGTACTGCAATAGCTAAGGGATGGGGCAGTGGAGCACGTGCCTGCAGATTCTGTTGCTAAGGAAACCACTTCCTTGGTTACCAGCCTGGGTAGCATTTGTCTCACTATGTCTGGATCCCACTGAGTCGCCCCCACTCGCCAGGAAGATCTCCAGGAGGAGATGGGGGAGGACAAGAGGGGAGGGGAAGGAGGAAAGGAGGGAGCCAGGGAGAGACATGGAGTTAAGAGATGGAGAGACACTTGCACAAATGGGAACAGAAATCAATAAAATATGAAGATGAAATGAGGGAGAGAGAAGAGGGGGAAAGGGGCAGAAAGACAAAAAAGAAAAGAGGCTTAATGAGCAGCTGGGGGAAATCAGAGAAATCACAAAGGGAGAAATTGAGAGCAGGAGGCAGGGTAAAAGAAAGGAGGGAGGAAGGGGGAGGGACGGGGAGAAGAACGACACAATAAAAGGGAAAGGGAAGGAGTTGGGGCCGGGCCTCTGGGAAGAGCGTCCTTGCAGGACCTACCCCCAGCACCCCACTTGCCACTTCTCCCCTCATTGTCATTGGGATATCTTTGCAGCTGTCCCCAGGGTTTTTGAAGAATCCAGAAGATGTCTCAGAAGTCAGCAGATGCTGGCCCTGCTTGTTCTCCTGAGTCCTGGAGCTGCAGTGAGCCCGAGGCAGTGGCAGGATAAGAACCCAGGGATCCCAGCTTCCAGACCAGCACCTACACTGGGGCACTAGAGACCACTGGGATCTAAACCTTTTTTTCTTCCTCCTCAGGGGCAAGGGCTTTGTCACTCTGTGCATGGAAAAAACTACTAGGCCCTTGGAGGAGAGGACAGTGGCTGCTATCAGTCTGAGTGGCCCCCCCACAGTGAATAGTCTTTGCTCCTCCCACTGGATGGGGTGGGTCAGAAGTGACCCCCCCACCTTCTTCCTTAAAATGTTCTGATCACTTACAGATATCTCCTTGGTACCTGGTAAAATGTAAACTGCAGAAACAGGGATTTTCTATCTGTTTTGTTCCTTTCATTTCTAAAACTGGGAGCAGTGCCTGGCACATGGTTGTTCAGTAAAATATGTATTGAGTGAATGAATGGATGGATGTTACTTTGGTTCCTTCTGGATCTGAAATATAAAGATTTTGTTCCCAAGATTGAGGAAGTGTGATGAGAAGGGCAGAGATGAGCTAAGGCAGGGGTTACTACACTGTTCATCTCGGCCCTAGCTCTGGCCTGAAGTGCTTTTACACCAGCTTCTCCCAGCCCCTGGGAGTCCAGGTGGGGCATCGAGCTGCATGTGGCACAGAATCTATGAGATCCCAGGAGGAGAATTGGAGAGCTTGGGCTAGATGTTCCATGGCTTCCCACACTTCTTACTAAGAGGATTTGGTTACACAGATAATATTCAGAGAAATGAAACAAAATTGGCACATTGGTTCAGGGCTCAGCCTGAGACCAGAGTTAAGGTTTGATCTGAGATCAGGGAAGGCTCTGGCTGAGGCCTCAGAGGGCTTAGAGTGCCTGAAGTTAGGACTTATGCAGCACCAGGAGTGAGGCTCTGTCTGTGTTCTGAATCAGAGATTAGGGCTCAGTCAGAAGCCACTATCAGCATTTGTTCTGGGACAGCTCAGGGCTCAGCCTATGACTCAGGTGGGAATGTAGCCAATGACTAGATCAGGGCTCAGTATAAGTAGGACCAGACTTGGGACTCAGTCCAGTGTGACTCAGTCAATGTGGGGCTGAGATAAAGGATCAGTGTGACAGCAGGATTATGGATCAGGATGTGTCCAGGATCAGGGGTCAGTCTGTGATCAGGATCAGGGCTTAACTGTGGCCTAGGTTAAAGGCTCCTGGATTGGGCTCAAACTGTGATCAATGAGACTTGGTTTAATATCAAGGTCAGAGTACAGCCTGGGCCCAGATCAGAGCTCAGTCATCACAGAATAGTTTCTATGAGCCAACATGAACCCCCAGAGGAGAAAGACTCTGCCCTCAGTGGCACCAGGACTCCCTGTCTTCCTGAGCTCTCCCTCCGGATGGGGGGAAGAGCCCCTCCCTCTCCTTCCTCTACCTGTCCCAGCTCCCCTCTCTTTTCTATATAGCAGTATATAAAACCTTGTCCCTCCCAATAAACAGTTCCCAGTACCAGCACCTCTCCCCAGAATCCCCTCTGCTGCATGAAGAAAGAGAACATAGGGTCTCCCTTTGGTGGTATTTGGAAGTTTGAAAACTGTTGCCCCACCTACTAGGGAATGGAGGAGACCCCTCTGTCCTCTTGGTGGCTTCCCAGCTGCACACGCATGCACACAGAATCACACACAAGGGGTCTCTCTCTGTCACACACAGACATTGGCACACATAGACATACACACCACAAATACACATACAAGGACTGCCTCCCACACATAACTTCTTTTATCCCCATGCACACACCCAAGCGGGAGCATTTGCACAATGTGCTTGTAATCTCTCCCTGGTCACCACTTCCACCCACACTCCCTTCCTGTACGGAGGACCATGACACCAAGGACAAAAGGCCTAGGCCGAGGACATGCCCTCCAAAGTAGGCAGCTTCTCATGAACAGATTTCAACACATGGATGGTTCTTCCTATGCATGTGCACAATCCCACACACAGGGACCGACACAGACGTCAAAACGGGGGCAGTCGTCACACTGGCTTGGGGGATAGAGCAAGTGGCTCACAGGCAGCTCCACCAGGGAGTTCCCCCCACACAAAAGCAGTTATACTCCAACCCTCCGCAGCCCCTGAGCGTTTTGTCCCTCTGTGTGCTTGTCAGTCTCTGCCCCTCACACTCACACACCCGGAAAACATCCCATTTATGAACTTGCCTGACACAATACTCTGCCACGTGGTAGAATTATCAACAAAACTCGCATTTAATGATGGTGTTGACCTGAGGAATCTTCAGACAGAAGCTTGTGGCCAGAGGTGACCATCAGCAAAGAACTGGACCTGGACTTGGACCAAGAGTCTCCCAATGAGAGCTGACTTCCAAGTGGGAGGGGAGACCAAGCTCTCTGCTGCTTCATGAAAGTGGCTGGAAATTAGCCTGGGACAATGGGGTGGGGGGCAGGAATAAACACAGTAAAAAATACATTCAGAGCCCCCTGGGTGGACCCTGGGGTGGCCCAAATCCTACACATGAGGGAATCGGGGAAGGGAAGCACAGGTCAGATCCCTGTGCTTTCTCTTTTCATGGCCAGGTTCCAAGGGGCAGAATGTATTATGTGTTAGTCATTTTCCTCTTAAAAAAATATATCTTTTTATACTTGCCTTTTCCATAGTCTCTTTGCTATTTGGGAATGAGCATTTACGTGCACCCAAAGGCTTCAGAGGACAGCTGAGGGAGGCTGCTCCAGACAGAATAGCAAAGAGGCTGTGACATATGGCTTTTGCATCTACATGATCAGGAATGGTGCAGGTGTGAAGCACTGATGCCCAGGGTAGGGGAGCAGATGGAACCCCGGTTCAATGCCTTTTAAGAACATTGATCAGTGACTTGGGTCCTCCAAAATCCTTTGGTTTGCTGTCCCAGCATCCAGACAGCAGTGTCGGTATGGAAAAGCTGAGACATACCATTACCTGATCCCTTCAAGGGCCCCCGGAGGGGCTGGCTCTGTTGGACTATGTCAAAGAGAGGATGATGGTCTGGGAAGGTAACAGAGGTTCACTTTGGGGTTGGTTCCACCTGATTTGGGGCGCTCTTGATCTGTCACCTGTACAGCAAAGGACCCATTGGCAGGGATCCATACGGCAGTGTAAGACCAATGCGTTGGACTTCGCAATGGCGAGTTGTGTTCCTGGGGCTCTCACTCGGATTCTGCACGTGACATGAGACTGCCCTCACGGGTTAGCTGTTGGTGTCTAAAGGACCCTGGAATTGGGATCAAGGACCCCAAGGTCACCAGAAAGGAAAGGGCAAGATTTAGGCCCATAGAGAGGCAACCAGCTTGTTTCTCAAGAAGCAGTGGCCTGGAGGTGGACCGGTGATGCCAACTCACCCACTGTGAGCACCATTGCCTCCCCATCCTACCCGGAATGTCAGAACCCTGAGGCCACAGGGAAACCTCCTAGTGATTTTGCTTTACAAGAAAAGATAAGTGTCAGTGCCCGTGCATCCTGTGCAGAGACAAGAAAGGGAGTTACAAAAGCTCAGGCCAGAAAGGACGAGCATCTATGGCCATGTTTTTACATCAATCCCCTGAGCTCCAACATAAAGGTCTTCAGCAAACTGCTCTGGGGCATCCACATGTCTCCTTGAGATAATGAGCCCTCCTTCTCACAGGCAGAATCCAGGGTGGTCAGGACAGGGATACGGCGAGACAGAAAAGGGGCCACATTGCCAGAATATCCGCCCCAAACCAGTTGCCCCATATCTCCAAGAAGGGACGTGAGTATGGTGGAAGTGCCTGGACAATCTCTTCCCTGGAGCCTCCTTTGTCATGCAGGAGACTC